GCTTCGTGTTTGTTTCATAACGGCTTTTTAACGCTTTTTTATAGCACCTCAGATTCACTTAACCACAGCAGATTGGCTTCGATATCTTCAGAACTTCAACTGACAGAACGCTAGCCGAGTGGGGGTTAAGGTTTTACTTGATTCAAAGAAAAAAGGACAGAATCATACAATTAATTTAATTTAAAATAGATCTCCTGTTTCAGATTTCTGTCTGTGAAAAGCGAGAAGGAACTTTTAACTCTTTTTGTCTAAATTCCCATAAATTTTATTTCTAGCAGCGAAATTACTCAATTTTATTATAGAAGTCCACTCTTTAGCTGATTTATTTAAGGCGGCGTAACAATGGTCGTAATCATAAAAAGAGAAAATTGTTATCGGTCATCGCATTAAAACAATAACTGCTGGAAAGGCTGGGATAATTTGTAAGGGCGCATTATATTAAAATGTGGGGGTTTAGTTCGGTTCGTGACCTATTTACATCCTATTATTTTAAAGCAAATATCCAGATTATACGTATGAATACTAAGTTTGGATTAAATTATGTTACAAATTTTAAGTATCGTTTTACCCTTTCATTATTCACTATTTGCCAATGTGCCTCTGGTTCCCGTTGCAAGATTTAACAAGTTAAAAAGTAATCGTAAACGATTTACATAAAGCGCATTTCCACTTGCATTCATTTCCTATTTGTAAGATGCAACTTCTATTAAAATCGTAAAAATCCGGCCACAAATATGAAAGATAGCGTTGCACATGGGCAATCCATTTTTGACGTGCTACTTCAATTTCAGTTTATGCGAAGAATTTCATTTCAATGCTTTTCTAAATAAGAAAGTTGGAACTGTGCATGCACAAACCTAAATTTTAAACTAATGTTAGATTTTCCTTTGTTCCAAGCGCCTAAGTATCAAATTTCACTTAAATAGTTCCATAGATAAAAAAGTTGGCACTGCGCATTCGCAAAATAAAATTTTGAAACTAGCGCTAGATTTTCCTTTATTCGAAGTGCTTATGTATCAAATTTCGTTTAAATTCTTCCATAAATAAAAAAAGTTGGCACTGCGCATGCGCAAAACCAAATTTTGAAATTGGCGTTTGATTTTCCTTTATCCCAAGTGCCTCTGTATCAAATTTCGTTTAAATTCTTCCATAAATAAAAAAGTTGGCACTGCGCATGCGCAAAACCAAATTTTGAAATTGGCGTTTGATTTTCCTTTATTCCAAGTGCCAATGTATCAAATTTCATTCAAATACTTTTATAAGTAAAAAAGTTTGCAATTCGGTTTATAAATGGTCGAGATGCGAAAAAGGCACTGTGAATTTTGAATCGATTCGATTCAACTTTTGGCATTGCGTATTATACGGCTAAAGCTATGCCCATATTGAATTTCATGCAATTCAGTTCATAACTAACGGAGATTTAAAAGCGATCGAACATTTCTAAACAAAGTTATCGTTCACACGGACAGATAGATGGACAGACAGACAAAGGAACAGACGGAGAGACCAACCGGCAGGCGACAGATAGCAATGCAAATTTATAAACGATCTCTAGGATCGTTAATAAACGGCAAAAGTGTAAAATTATGGAACATGTAAAAAACGGTTTTTTGTTTTTTTACAATAACTTTTTTGGTAAGCGGTACAGAAAAAATTCCTTCCTTGGTACAAGACTCGACACCATAACGAACCAAATAGCGAAAAAAGTAGAACAATAGCTCTTAAGATAAAGAACTAGTAGCGTCGCAAAAGTAGCGGACGGACGGACGGACGGACGGACAAAGTGGCCACAATAGCGCATTTTTTTTTATTTTTGTGGAAATGCGCTAAAAAGTACCATTCTATAAGTAAGCAAGAAGAATTTCGAAACAAAAATTTGATTTTAGGAAGCAGCAAACAAAATTTTGTAACAGTTTATTTTCCTGTGCGAATTGTGATGTTTCACAATGCGTAGGTTTGAACATGTTACCTCCACGTCCGTACGCCACTGTTTATTCATTTCTCACGATGAGAGTGGAAAATGTTACCTCCAATTGTGTTGATTTTTCTTACTGATTCGTTGACTGTAGTTGTAGCTTGTTGTATAAATAATCTTTTTAGCGCATTTCCACAAAAATAAAAAAAAAATGCGCTATTGTGGCCACTTTGTCCGTCCGTCCGTCCGTCCGTCCGCTAACTTTGCGACGCTACTAGTTCTTTATCTTAAGAGCTATATTGTTCTACTTTTTTCGCTATTTGGTTCGTTATGGTGTCGAGTCTTGTACCAAGGAAGGAATTTTTTCTGTACCGCTTACAAAAAAAGTTATTGTAAAAAAAACAAAAAACCGTTTTTTACATGTTCCATAATTTTACACTTTTGCCGTTTATTAACGATCCTAGAGATCGTTTATAATTTTGCATTGCTATCTGTCGCCTGCCGGTTGGTCTCTCCGTCTGTTCCTTTGTCTGTCTGTCCATCTATCTGTCCGTGTGAACGATAACTTTGTTTAGAAATGTTCGATCGCTTTTACATCTCCGTTAGTTATGAACTGAATTGCATGAAATTCAATATGGGCATAGATTTAGCCATATAATACGCAATGCCAAAAGTTGGATCGAATCGATTCAAAATTCACAGTGCCCTTTTCGCATCTCGACCATTTATAAACCGAATTGCAAACTTTTTTACTTATAAAAGTATTTGAATGAAATTTGATACATAGGCACTTGGAATAAAGGAAAATCAAACGCCAAATTTCAAAATTTGGTTTTGCGCATGCGCAGTGCCAACTTTTTTTATTTATGGAAGAATTTAAACGAAATTTGATACATAGGCACTTGAGATAAAGGAAAATCAAACGCCAATTTCAAAATTTGGTTTTGCGCATGCGCAGTGCCAACTTTTTTATTTAGAAAAGCATTGAAATGAAATTCTTCTCATAAACTGAAATTGAAGTAGCACGTCAACAATGGATTGCCCATGTGCAACGCTATCTTTCATATTTGTGGCCGGATTTTTACGATTTTAACAGAAGTTGCATCTTACAAATGGGAAATGAATGCAAGTGGAAATGCGCTTTATGTAAATCGTTTACGATTACTTTTTAACTTGTTTGCTTTGCCTCTTATGTATAACATGGTAAATAAATAATGCAGTATTGGTATTTGGTATGTCCAAAACGTAATTTGGGTAGATTTATGATAAGAAACATTTGAATATCCAAACCAGCATGACTGACCGTTAACGGCGCCAAGGAAACCACGTCCATAATAAATAACGAGGTGCAGTGGTCCACCGTTGATAGCGACTCCCAACGGTGGCACCGACGACTCTAGCGAAACCGTAGCTTTAGACAACCAGGTCGTATCTCACGACTCTTAGGCGACTTAACCTTTCAACGCAAAATTAGAAAGACCGTATCTAAAGATCACTCTCCCACAAACACGCCAGGGCCGTATTGAGGTCATAATAAAATTTTTCTGTCCCCGTTACAAAATTAAAAATGAACCGGTAAAGTTATAAGGAAGTAGCGCGAATCAGCGTATTGTACTAGCTTAGCTTAGGAGAATGGATCTACACCCAATTCAATGGGTTCTTCAATTTACACATTATGATTTATATAAGGCATTTAAAATTGATTGAATCCTTTACGACCCATTAATCAAATCTTTACGTTACATTTTATACAAATTTTTTCTACATTAAATCTTAAAGATATTCAATGTATTTTTTGAATACAAAAATAAATAGAACTAACTTTGGACTAGAGGTTTTCTCGTTCATGGAAAGGATTGATTTTCTTAACTTCTAGATATAGCTTGGTGGTTATAGCACAGCTGTTCTTCTGGTAATAAATATATTACTTTAAAGGAATTTTTTTCATGATTGCAATGGGCTCGATTTCGGTGTTTTGCCTTTTACTTGATGGCGGAAATCATTTCTGAGACCGTAATTTGTATAGACTCAGTTTAATGAACAGTTTAGCATAATTGTAGAAAATCCTTAGTAAGCAGAAGCACAACAAATGTTGCAAAGACGTCTCCCACAAGAAACCGAAACTTTGTTGTGTTTGTTGTTGAAACTGTCGACAGTTTTAGTTACAATTTTGCCACTTTTAGATACTATTTAATTATCCTAGTTTTTCTTTTACCCCCAATGAGGAATTTGTTCGATCAACACATTACTTTCGTTTTCGAAAAAAGTTTTGATTTATTTACATTTGCAACTATCATTTAATTAATTTTTAAATTTGCTTCCTTCCTTAAACCATTACGGAACAATGAAAGTGTAGTGAAGAAAAATGCGAAAACCTCGTTCATCGACTTACAGACAACCAACTTGTTTTTTAAATGCTACTAAAACAAATATTTATCTGGAGAATACAATTTCACTCGCTAAAATATGTTGAACCTGACAATTTCTACTTTATTTCCGCGAAAACTCCACTTAATTTCTGAGATAGTTAAAAAAAATTTATCTTTTTTACTGTCGCACACTCATAAAGATATAAGATTACCTACACACATGTACGTCATTCCCCACTGCAGGTGAAATTGTGCAACTTCTCGAATATCTTTCCTGGATATGCCAAAACTGATTGATAACCATCGTGCCCGTAAAGTTAAAACAAGAATTTGCTGGGAGTTAAGACAACTACTTTTTTTCTCGGCCTTGTCTCGTCTCCATGGAGATGAGATAGAGTTAGGTGGTAGACCTTAGTGCTATACTATAACAAGGATCTGCTTTATTAATGAGAAGTTTTAACTTTTAACAACGGTTAAATGAATTTATATTTTATTTGTTTAAATAATAAACAACAATAGGTACCCACAATTGTCAACACTGGGCGCTCACTATCGCATTGTAGCCTGCAGACCGTTTTTTCAAGACTAACTTACATTAGGTCACGAATCGGTTTATATTGTGGGCTTCCTACATTAGTCTCTCGAAAATTCGTGTACTATTTCAAGCACCACGTTAACGTTATGTTCTATGTTAATAATTACATTATCCTTTGCAGCAAATCTCGTGGGTACGACGAAGAGACTGGCACATATTATCATCGGGAATGTTCACCTACACTAATGACGAAAGGTTTCAAATTTTACATTCTGAGGGATCCGACGACTGGACTTTGCAAATCAAATACGTTCAAAAGCGAGACAACGGCACGTACGAATGTCAGGTAATGTCCTTTTAATTGATTTTTATTACTTTACACAGTTCATATGATCATATCTCAAAAAGGATCACATGTTAATCGTTCACAAACTCATTTCTTATTGTCTCGAAAACGAGTGCCCTTGTTATACCTAAACAAGTCACCTAAATTAAATAATTAAATTGCAGGTTTAGCCTTCTCTTTTCAGTGTTCCAGCGTGTGCACTTTAGTGTAGTAATCCATATTGCTTCCGTTGGCTCCAAGTTTTATATATTTTATTATTATTTTGATTTTTATTTTGTTTCTCCCTTACGAAATGGGCGAAACCATAACTGTTCGTTCATTACTGATAGGGTCCTATTCCTCGCTATCGCTCGCATCTAAATGTCTCTGGCCGTGGAAGTTTCCGTTCTGACAATGACACGACTCTTGAATTCATTTACAAAATCAAATTACGCCGATCAATGCACTGTTATTGATTACTTATTAAGACATAACGAGAAGAATCAGTCATTGATCCTTTTTTGGGTTACCTTCGTATAGATTCCTAAGAAAACTGTGCGGTTTTAAGCTTGTTATACAAGAAAGCAGTCAAGGTTATTTTTGTTAAATTTTATTTAAACGTGGGAAGTTCCGGGAATTTTTTGGGTCTTTATCTGTTATTAAATGTAAATGCTTCTTTTAATAGACAGGTAGATGTGATTTATCGCCTGTTCTGTGTAGTTAAGAGAGATGAAATTTTATTTTTCCTAGAATTTAAGTTTGAATTTATCTCTTAATGTCTGATAACAAATTGATTTAGAAAAATAATCGACCTCTTCTTTTGTTGGCCTAATAACGTGAGTTGATAGAATAGTCTTTGTTGTTAACTGTACATGATTGGTTGTTGTAATTTTTATTATCGGAAGAAAGGTTTCGCCTTAACTAGGACGTTAAGAAGAAAAGCGTCGCTTTTTATCACGCTCAACGCAGAACTACGTTTCATTGAAGAATTTAAACCAGCTTTTTGCCACAATCTACTGAAAACCAGTGCCGGTTTACCGGTTAGGCACGGTAGGCACGTGCCTAGGGGCGCCTACCATTTAGGGGCGCCAGCCACCATTGCCACCACCAGGTATCGTACGCCATGAGCAGTACGCACACTGAATACGATTTTTTAAATTTAATTCCTTAGTGTTGTATCATTTTTTACGACAAAGATTAACAGTAATTACACATTCATTTTGAAATGTGTACATTTACCTACTATACATATAACAGGATATGAAAACTGAGAAGCTGCAATTTTTGTATCAAATTGATATACGTAATCGCAGAGCGAGACTACTATGAACTTTTTAAGAAATTCTTTCGGTAGAGTGACACTTAATCCTGGACTTAATGAATTGGCCCCATAAATGTTGAGGAAATTTTGGATAAATTTGCTTCAAAAAAGGCTAGAAAAAAATGTTATAGAGAACTATGACTTTTTTATTATTTAAAAACACCTTTTTGGTTTCGGTTTTAGAAAATTATTATTTTTTGTTATCTAAAAACGCAAATAATACTATTCCATTTATTTTCTATTAAAGACTAATTTTTTAATAAAGGATTTTTAAGTGTCGGGTGGGCGCTTAAAGGGCTGCGCCTAGGGGAGAAAATGTTCCTAAACCGGCACTGCTGAAAACTACGGTTTTTTGAACATTTAAATCAGCTTTTAGCCACGTTCAGCGCCGAATTACGTTTCGTTGAAGATTTATTCGCTTCTTGGGAGTTCCATCGTTGAATTACGGCCAGTTTATTATTCATTTGAAGCCATAGCCAGTTTCGAAAGTTTTCGTTCACTGTAAGTTTGAAGATTGAAGAAGTTTCGTTTGTGAAGCCAGAAGCCGAATTCCCGGCTAATTATTTTTCTACGTTTGTTCGTGCATAGTACAACGCCGAGGTTTTTTTTGTCTTACCGGCTGGAGGATTGTCTAAAGTTTTGGCCATATATGATAGTTTTTTTATACAACAATCTTTTAAAAAAGTGGCGTGTAGGTAATCAGAATTACACTACAGTAATCTAAGATAATAGCGCAAGGGGTACCGATGAAGAATGTGCTTGTCAGTTCGAATACGACACTTCGCGTGTAGTTTATTGACCGATTGTTGTTTATGCTTAAAGCTACTTGATATGTTGTTTGTTATGAATTTACTTTTGCCTCTCCCTGGTCCTATTGTTCCCCATCCCGTAGGATCACCCTCATCCGGTCGTAGGAGAATTCGCGCCCGAACAATTCACTATCGAGCAATTCCCGTCGGATAATTCGCTTCCGGAAATTTCGTACCCGGACTCCTAGTACAATTCGCTCCTGCAAAATTAGAATTGTCGTGGAGCGAGTTATCAGGATGCGAATTGTCCGAAAGCGAATCATTCAGCCGCAAATTGTCCTGGGGGCGAAATCCCGGGGGGAATTATGCTGAGAGCGAATTATCCGGGCGCGAATTGTCCTGGGAAACGAAATGTGCTGGGAGAGAATTGTCTTCAGTACGGATTATCCGGGCGCGAATTGTCCACACAACCCCTCAACCGCGTTACAGCTGTATTTGACATCTGGGATTGTCACTGATTAAATATCGTGACAGTTCTGTCAATAAAGGTCGCTGACACGAACCTTCATGTCTCATCACCCGTCATTTCAAAAGGATGAAAGCAAGTACCGGCGAACGTGCAGAAACGTCTAAGCGTCACCTCAGAGTTAATACAACCGCAAAAGTGTCTGCTTTTTAGAAAAAAAATTCCCCTTATGTGAGGGTTTTGTCCGTCTGTCCTCCTGTCTATCTGTTCTTCATGAAAACAGAAGACAACGATGCCAAACGTTCCTCAATCGATTTCTACTAGTTCAAGGATCAGTGCTATTTAATTTGAGCCTAATTAAAAGTCGTGTTGCCGAATACGAGCGTTGCAGTAAAATTCCCCTACTAAAAATCGTATGCAATTCTTCGTATCTTGTTATATATTATGGTAATTTAGGAAGGGGCGCAATTTTAATGCTTACCCTTGGCGCCATTTGGGCATGCTACGCCACTGAGTCTCAACTCATGTAACTTGTTCCGTAGTGTTTACCACGTGCAAGGTTTTGTACGAGTTGTTTGTGTACTTTAGTGAGTCCGATTTTTCCATAAAAAATAAAAGAGTTGTTTAAACTACTTAAGGCGTGTTTCGAGGGTTGCCATTCCGCTATCGCTGCCTAGAGTTTGCTCACCTCCGCCTTGCTAAAAAAATAGGCTCCAGCAAAGAATTGTACTAATACGGACGGCACTCCCAAAGTTAAATCCTGAGATTGAGGTCGCATTCACGGAATTTACCGAGGGAGGCAAATCTTCAGACTTGTTTACGAGCGGTTGCAAATGGTCTCGCTCTTTGCCTAGAAGGGAAAGGTGGGAGAAGCTTTTCGCTATCTCTAATTAAGGATTGAGCGACTTAAGATTAAATGCTTTTTTAGACGTCCAGCATTTTAAGTTGATTTTAAAACTAATATATTCTTTGTCGCCCTCAGAAGATTTGACCATAGAAAATGAGCCCTAGAAGATTCTCAAGCGGAATAGTCACCGCGCGGGAAATTTAGTTAAAAAAAACCCGATTCCGTACTTTTCGGCTCCCATAAAACTCGCCCCCGGAGTATTTGCTCTCAGAAGATTCTTCTTCAGAATATTTGCCGGCAGTATCTTTGCTCACAGGAAATTCAAGAAATCGGCTTACACTTCCGAAAAGTGACGTCACTACCTTCGATTCTACACCAACTCTCGTAAGGACTGTATTCGATCCCATACCTCTGGTGCACGTGCTCTGGTGGAAATATAGGGATAAAAATAAAGTATGTATTAGCGCATTTTTAAGAACTACAAAAAATTGAAAATGGCTTTAAAAATTGTTTGTGTTCAAAAATGTTCCTGTTCCTGGTATGAATCTTTCGGGGGCGAATGTTCTGAAAGTGGAATATTTTGGAGTCTTTGGGGGCCAATGTACCTGCGGGCGTGTTTTCTAGGAGGAGACTTGTCTCAGGGAGAACGCACCATTCATACGGAAACAGACTTAATGTATTCTTTCGCGAAGGATCCAGGAGGGCTTTGATGTATTTGAAGTTAGCGTTCAACGTACGTTATTACGCTTACCTGATGCTGGAAAGAGATTGGAGTAATACGTGGAACGCTAATTTCATTATTATTCATTATTCATTACGAAACTCGCCAAAGCTCGTTTCATAATTCTCATACTCGTGTGGCCGTCATTAAATACTCATTGCATAATATACTATTATGAAACAAAATATCGAAGAAAGAGGATTTTTTAGAGCTAGTGTTGTTTTGAAGTCGTGTTGATTAAGTTGACCAACTCTTTATACGCCCCGACGTAAAAGTGCTAACTAAATTACATTAGGGCAATTAAACACATTTATAGGTAACCTCCTAATTGCAAACTTACTGTAAAAAATTCGTCTTCGTTTTCTCCAATTTTAATAAAAGGCTTAAAGAACCCATATATCTCTAAAGTGAAGGTTTAATTTATCGTTTGAGATAAATTTGAGGAAGCGTATGGAAATAATGTGGATGAACCGAAACTCTAAGAAATGGGAATTGTGCTCTTTGTTGTAAATTGGTTTATTTTCGGATGATTACAGAAACTTTCGGTAGCATGTAATAATTTTACATTCTTTCGTAAATTGATGCGGCGCCCAGATCCACAATGGCGTCGCGTTTAATTCTTTCGATCTTTAGTAATTTTTTTCCCATCAAACCTGGCGTATAAGAGCTCAGCTTATGAACTTTTTCAAAACTGTAATCTTCGTTGAAATCTCATTAAATCTAGGCACGAACTTTACGAACTACATCGTCAAGAAAATTCACATTCTTTTTACAAGGTAGGAAAAATCCGAAAGCAAGAAGAATATTAGTCATTTTCTTATTTCTCTAATTCACAAACGAAGGAAAGTTTTCCTTTTTTCTTCTTAAGCAGAGCGCATATACTTTATCGCGCCATCGTGATAATCCCAACACGTACATAAAGAATAGGCCATTTTTCTTACAAGCCTAAGATGGAATAATAGTATTTCCATTTGAATGGTTAAAATTTTTACGTAATATTCGCCGAGGCCCTTTTTCGCAGACGTAACTCATATTAACGGTCATAATCTAATTTTTATTCCGGTAGTTTGGTTACCGCAGCAAGCAAAACCGGAAGATTCAGGGTTGCCAACTGACCTGGATGAACATCATAAATTTCAACCTACATCTTACTATAAAACGTTTTTATATTTGTTTTTATGATCTTTCGACTTTTATATCTCGGAACACATTGTTACTTTTTCCTTTTATTTCCTATCTGATTGATTTTCGATTTCCACACCTCGATCTGTAATGTAAGAATTTCCCATTAAACACGTCGTTAAATTAGAACAAATTTTTCACCTCTCCGTTTATCGTATAATATAACGTTGACAAAATGGAATGGATATTCAGCTAGGCAACATAAATTTTATCAAATACACAATGGTGTATTTGTGATAACCTTTAAATCGAAATTGTATGTGTTCCATCATTAAAATCGATACGAAGTAATTACGGCACTGGGAAATTACTAATTATCTTGCGTTACGTTGATTACAACCTTCTACTCCTATTACCTCAACAACACGGACTTTTTTGATATCGTATTTGTGCCAACATTGGCTAATCCCAATGGAGCTAAATCTCGTTATAAGGTCTATAAATCTGCATGATATTGAATTTTAAAGCACTCATTCACCATTTTCACTGCTGCCTGTTTCAATTGCTTATATATTATTTATGGCGTTACATTTGCTACTCGTTACTTGCGTCACCTGTAAATAAACAAGAAGAGGATCAGAGCGATCGTTAGCTACTAATATTCTGCATCGACAAATAAATGCACATATATGTCTATAGTAAGTTCTACCGACAACATTCAATTTCATCGATACCTTACCCTGGTATCCATACCATAACTAAAATTATGATTTTTCCTAATAGTCCAGTCAAATTAGCTCCAAAAGTAAGATAAACTGGATGTTGTCACTTCAATCAACGACACCAAGAATCATAGTTCAAAAAAGGGGTGTAGGCGAAATCATTCTCGAAAAACTGGAAATGGTTTTAATCCCTTTATTTGGATGTAAAAAGCATTTTTGCACCAATTTTCTGCTTGTGCTGTATGAGGGGTGTTGCAAAAATCTCGAAATTTTTTGAATTTTTTCAATTTTTCTTTAATAACTCTTAAACGATGCATTTATGGGAAAATTAAAGTACATACAATTCTACGTCGAATCACATATTTAAAATTGAGTAAAATGGTATGGAGTTATGGACGGTATGCATGTTCAAAAACAACCGTTTTCCAATTCCTTAAGAAAAATGAAACTTTTTAACCATATTCCAATTTCGTAAATGTGTAATAAAAAATGCTACTCAATACAGGTGCGTACTTTTTTACGGGCCATATAAGCAAATAAAGTTGATGATGATTTTTCGAAACAAAACGTTGTGTTAAAAATTCTTGGCCAATTATAGCGTTGTGCGCGGGTGCACCACCCTGTTGAAACCAACAGTTTCCAACTTTTGTCGATGATGAATTATCCGAAATGAAACGTTGTATCAAAAATCTCTCACCCTTGTCTTGTAGTGACCACAGTGTTTTTTTGTAATTTTTCTGTAACGGCTCAAATAACACAAGGAAAAAATAAAAACAAAATCAACAAATTTTATAACTGTTTAATTGCAGAACTTTTCCCTAATTTGACTATCATCGTGCCTTCTATGGTTTCCGAAATATAGCTCTATAGTCTATAAATACCCAAGAGTAAACATTTAGTATTATTTATTTGTATCGCTCAGAGTAATTAATCGTAATGCGCTCAATAGACCAAGTATGGTCGGCTAGTAACATAGGTATATTTACCAACAGATTTAGATCTATTTAATGGATAAGTATATAATACAATTATATTTTTATCACAGACAAGTATATGTTGCCTGTGGTATACAATCAAAATTAAACATGTAAAAAAAGTGAATCGAATTTTCAAAAATTATATTTGTATTCGTTATTTCCATGTTAATCGATATACCAAATTTCGTCACGAACTTTCGTTTGCAGCCTCGCTTAGAGACCACGTCGTAGGTGTAGTGGTAGTGTAAAATCAAAAAGAGTATACCATAAAACAGAATACTGACGAAGTTCTTAAATACAACATTTTTAATCCTCAGTGTGTTTGAGGTTTTGGTTGTTTTAATGATACATTTAAACCTTAGACCCTTAACTTCGAAACGTTGAACGTCTTTGTTACCTTAATCAACTTAAAGGTATATAAAAAAACAATGCATATATTAAAAAGGTATACCTAATATAAATATTACAGATTACTTTTTGGTTTTAAAAAATCACATATTAATGGCGCCACAATTTGGGGACAATTGGCATGCATGTGGTGATTTCCGTCTACAACTTTGGTAATACAATTGGTGGACAGTTTTTCTAATTTGGCTAAGAATTCTCGATCAGGTGGAGGCATTTCTGATCGCGCCGCAACGATGCTGAGCATTGGACAACGAATCGGGTGATGTTTTATAAGCCGGTTTATAGTATTCGCGTTTAGTATAAAGTAAGGGTAGATTTTGATCCGGGGATCGCCAGCCATTTGATACTTTCCTTCAGCCACTTTTAATAGATTTCGCTTATATATGCGTTCTGCGGGTTCTTGAGCAATTTCACCGTACATTCGTCTATCAAGCAGAGCTTTCAGCCCTTCGGCATAGGTAAAGGTTGGCGGTTTGGCGGTGGAAGATCTAGCCAGCAACTTACATGCTCCGTCAATGTGATGTCTCGAATACGCCTTGAAGACTTGGGCTTCAAATGAACGAAAATAGTTAGCATCAATCAGAATTAATTTGGAGACGTCTTCCGGGTAAAGCTGAGTATACGTCAGCAGCAGACCTCCACCAAAACTGTGTCCCAAGAGAATAATATTAGTACCTTCTTTCAGGAAATTTACAACTAAGCGTATCGCCATGATGAAATCCCAGTACCCACAGTCCACATTGGGTGGTAAGTGACTCGAGGTTCCATGACCGGGAAGGTCGACGGCTATGTAAAAATACGATTGTGGCAGCAGCGGCAATAATTCAGCAAAAGATTCAATATTGTCAAATCTACCGTGAAGCATTAATATTTTGGGGTCCCTTTCATTTCCCCATGTTCTACCTAAAATGGTTAAACGTCAAGAGGTAGTTTAATAGTTAACTGTACTAACCCGATATGATCCCCCAAGGGACTGAAATAACTATTTCCTTTGCAATCATTTAGTTACTAATTGAAATATTTGTTTCAAAGTTCACATATAATACTTAAAGTTCGGTTTGGTTATCATGGCTAGGTTTCACAATGTGATAAATGACATACAATTAAATAAACAAAGTAGCCAGAAACTGAATAGGTGATATTATTCTAGTGATTACAGTGGTTAACAGGAGGCCATTTGATCAAATTAGCTAAATCTTTTTTTGTTTATTTTTTAAATAGAGCATCATTTTTTGACGAGTATTAAATTTTTATTTGAGTCAAGCTACAAGGACGCATCAAAAATGTGATGATCGGGAAAACACCCACTTTCATACGAATCTGACAGATTCTTCTCATAACTCACTTTTAAAACGCCAAAACTGAGTCGAACACATCAAACACTTAAATTTATGACTGCTCGTTTCTTGTATACAATTATTTCTTTATTCTTCATAAAACTTTTAAACCCGATATTACATGAGTAACAAACTTATTCATAAAATCAAACTTGTTTCCAGATTACTTTGTTACATGAAGACGACAAACTTGTTCTTTTTTTTCAATAAAATCACATCCTGCTAGACTACCGGTACAAAATAGCGTCACATACTTTACTCTTTCTTTCAAAAAACCTCGGGACAGTCGCTTTGACTTAATCCCAGCTATTTCAAAGAGAATCCTCTTCCACTAATTAAGTCAACCTCGTTGTTCCCCGGCGATACTCGAAACTCCGCTCTCGTCCCCCGAGTTGATTTACAACTGCATTGCTCATCTCGCACGTGGCATTGTTTTTCGCAAAAACAATTACTTTTTGTCGTGTAATAACTTTTTACACCTGACCGGCAAAAAGATGTTCCGTTATATATGCGTTTTGACCCTGGTTTTTGACTTTATCACAAAGCACAGCTAATAAAAATTAAATGACTTAACTTGAATTACGGTATATACAGGATGTTCCGACTACCATTTCCAATATTCCGGTCCAAATTACGTCAAAAACACGTATTTGTTTCAATACAGGGTGGCCCCCTCTCACCTTCGGCATTGTTTCAACTTAGAGAAACGACACCCCCAAGTAGTTTCCACGACATCTGTTTATTAGCCCATTTTTGGTCTCAAAAAGGAGAATATAGTCGGCTGTTTGAGTGTGTTTTAAACTATTTATCAATCGATCGAGACCTTAGTTTGAAAACCGAAGGTCCGCTCGCGAGCACTTTTGGTGCTCGAAGCGTTTACTTAAAGTGCTAGGCGCACGAGCGCTTTTTTCCATTAGCAAGCTCTTTCTTTGCTCGCGAGATCTTTTTCCGTTCACGTGTGCTTTTTCCGCGTGTTTTTTTCCGCTCTGAGGGTTTTTTCGCTCGTGAGCGCTTTTAACTGCCTTTTCCGCCATCGAGCGTTTTTTTCCGCTTCCGTGCGCTTTTCCGTTCCCGAGCGCTTTTTCCGCTATTGAGCTCTCGACCACATTTCCCGAGCGCTCGCGATAAACTGCTCGAGCACTTGTAGGAGTGCTCGGAACTCGTAAGAGATTTCGCTTTGCAAAACAGCTCGATGCCGAGCATTTTTGAGAAAATTAGAGCACTCGTCCCTCATGAGGGAGAGAGGGGAAGAGGGGGGAGAGGGAGAGAGAGAGAGAGTGTGTGCGTGTGCAGTTGATGGGAAAGAACATTTACGGCATTAAAAGCATAAAATAACCTTGTAAATAAGATCACTACAATCTCTGGTACACCGCATATATTTTTAAAGTATAAACCCCAGTAGAAACATGTCCATTAATAGCTTTGACCTGATGGAATGCCGATACTCCTGAACACGTGGGTGAATCTGCGCCTAATCTGGGACGAACTGCATATCAATTTACCACCATATGTCGCGGTTTTTCGATTTTCCGTCAAGAAAGAAACTGCACATACCAAAGATTACCAAACTTGCCATAGGGGAATTATCCACCGCGAGGGTTTCCCTGGAGATAGCGGCAGTTCCAAATAATACGGATGAAAAAAGGTATTGTCACGTATTTGTATTTATGTAACTCAGAAAACTGTAAAATATGAGGGCGATGTGTAAAAGATTTTGAGTAGCAAATTAACTTGTTTTTTTATGAAGCGGCAAAGCTAAGCGATGGATGCTTTATAGGGGAGTCGATGGTTTCCGTCGGTCTGTCCGTCCGTGGACACTATAACGGCCAAATGCTTGGGCCGATTCGGTTCAACCCCCGACATCTTCATCCTGATCTTTTGTTGGTGTTGGTGCCATTTTGATTCTATAATTTTCGTAATAAACGCTCGTACGTAAACGGGACAAGGGGGAATGCTGCACCAACCAATGGGGGCGAGGGGGGGGGGCGTGAAAGTCATCCCTGTCTGAGCGTTTTAGGAGCAGTGGAGGGCAATTTAGATTTGAGTTGACGACTCCCAGATTTAATTGTCGGTTTTATGCTGATCATCTGAGCGCATTACATTTCCACTGTGCTAAAAGGGGCACTGCCGAACATCCACACCGATAAGTGTGTTTTTTTAAATTGTGTGACACGAAATAATTAAAATTCTGAGCAACTGAAGAATGGAATTATTTGTCTACGTAACACATTTTTTATCATTAAGACCTTTGCTTTACTTTCTGTCAATGTATTAAAAATAAAATTATTGATACCGGAAATATTACAAATTACATTTTAAACTTAAAAAATCACAAATTAGGGGTGCGACAATATCGGGCGAATCCGAATGTACGTGGTGACCACCATCGACAAATTTAGTAACACCTCTCCTGTTCATGCCTAGAATTTTAGTCAGTATTTCTTTATACTCTATAGGTACTGTAGATCTTAGACCGAATATGTTGAGGGTTGGGCATATAATAGGACATTTTTTCCACATATGGGATGACGCTGAGGCGTTGACAAATATACAAATGCCAAGTTTGGTTAATGGGTCAGTTAGCGTATGATATTCTCCATCCAATTCAATAATGCTACGCTTGTACAGTTTTTCGGCTGCTTGTCTGGTCATCCCTCCGTATAATCGTTTACGCATAAAGTTTTGAAATCCCTTCTCATACGATTGCGTTGAGGTCGTTTTGGTTTCTTGCAGTAAATTACACGCTTGTTTCATGTAATTTCTGTAATCATTTCTAAATGCTTTAATGGGACGATAAGTCAAATAACTGGGGTCAATTAAGACCAATCGTGAAATTTCGTTGGGGTACAACTGTGAATATACCGCGGCAAGCTTGCTACCAAAACTGTGACCTATAATAGTAAGTGCACTTTCCGTTAAGAAACGAATAGTCAAGCGAAGAGCGATCACATAATCCAGGAAATTCGAAGCCGTAGTTTTCGGAAAATGTGTCGATCTACCGTGACCAGGAAGGTCTAAGGCTATGTAACAGTACGAGCTTGGTAACAAAGGTGCCAATCCACTGAACGATTCTGAGTTATCAAATAGACCGTGCAACATCAATATCTTGGGATTAGCTTCATTTCCCCATACCTGAGCTGCGATAACGAAACATTAAGAAAGAATCTGATTCTGTAAACGTCTAAAACTCACCTGCTATATACCCCCAAGGAACCGGAATCTTTATTTCAGTTGAGCACATTCTCTGAATAACTGCACCAAGTATAGAAATCGTCTTTTCCAATATTTAGCATCTTTATATGTTTAAACTTAAACAGGATTCAAGTGATACATTTTAGCTACATCATTATATTTTGTTGACATTATAGATAAAAGGTTACTGTTAAATGATATACCACGTATCATATACCAGCTCTTGGCAAAGTTACAAAACACACAACAATAGCCCCAGGAGATGACCTTAACTTTTGGGAGCGAAAAACTGCAAAATATTTACAGGTTATGCGGTTTTGGTGTAAGTTTGCACCGAAATAAAATTTTTCCCTTATTCCAACTTATGATTTCGGCTATGCCAATGAACCAAAATTGAAATCCGGGAATCCGGGCTCCATTTGTTTGTAGAGATGGCATTACCAGGGATTTTGAATACATTTCGTGCAGGATTTCGTCCAAGGAAATCTTTATCAATATTAGAAGAATCGAGAGCTTCTAGGAACAGTGGATCTAATCAGGATCAGCATTTGTATTTTTAGTAGCTTTGCAAGAAGTTTTACAACTCTCTTAACTTCTCTTAACGATGGAATGCACAGCACCCACTTGTCCCATGTAAGAACAGAAGCTCGATGAGGTTTTATTTTGAAGTTCGCAAACAGAATTTCCTGATCTCCCGAAATATTTGCAAAGAAACCAGCGAAAGCATCTTTTTATAGTTTTAGTCTAAGAATTCTGAAACAGAGCAACGGAAACTGGAACAAATGGAATATTATTATTGGAGTGTTCAGAATTCAGGGCGTGTTTTGATCGTATTTGCCACACTCACAGCCGTTGGATGGAGTGTGGGTGATATACACTATGTCCAAGGTCTATCATCTTGGAAACCATAGAAGATACGACGATGGTCAAATTAGAGAAAAGCGGCGCAATTAATGAGTTATTATGATGTTAAAAACAAAAGCTGAAAATTCTGATTACTTTCGAGGATATGCTAGAAAAAATGAAATTTGTCGATTTTGTTTCTGTAATGATATTTTATCAGATACAAGAAAATTGAAAACACTTTCAAATTGCAGCATTGAGAAATTTTCAATACAATGGAGAAATCATCATCAAGTTTCCGACGCAACAAAGACAATTGAAATATCTTGACAGAAACGGTTAAAAACAAAAAAAAGGCGCTTATCCCTTGCCGTACGTGTCATCCATTTTAGATAGGTTACGGGATGCGTATATTAGTAGTTTGGATATTGAGTCAGGGTATTGGCAAGTTCCACTCTCATACTCATCTCTTTGAGTATACCGCTTTTACTATTCCTGGACGGGAGGGATTAATTTGGCATTTTTGTATCTGGATTTCTGGGTGCCGTTCGACGCGTATTTATTTTGTTTTATCCAGCCCAGTTTGGGGATTTAAAGCGTTTATCTAGTGCAAAATTTAGGAAGATCTATTCAATAAAAGTCAAAAATCTTACAGCAGAAACCCAGTCCTTACAGGTACGCATTGTCAAAAGTGAAGTATGCGCTCTTACACTCTAGACTATACTAATTCGTTTTAAATAGGGTTTTTCGTATACGTACATCACTGGATATCCTACTGTTGGCAAGAAATGATATAGAAATCTAATCACCAACGTCGGGTTCAATTTCTTCAGCCCCTCTTCATGGTATCCCTATCACCGTCGATCATCTTTCCTCAACCGCCAATCGTCATCTCCCAGCTAAGTTTTTTTGTGTGTTGGTGTTGTCCCTAGGAAAAGAACAATCTTTAATTAAAAGAAGATCATTTGTAATAACATGCACAACGATTGTCCTTCAGACGTATATACACATTGTTCACCAATCAGCTGGCCAGATGGGCGGTTTCTCCTAATGTCAGTTTATACATCTTGGAAACCATAGAAGATACGACGATCGTCAAATTAGAGAAAAGTGGCGGAATTATGATGTTAAAAACAAAAGCTGAAAATTCGGATTACTTTCGAGGATATGCCAGAATAACTGAAATTTGTCGATTTTGTTTTTCTAATGATATTTGAACACATACAAGAAAATTGAAAACACTTTCACATTGCAGCATTGAGAAATTTTCAATACAATGGAGAAATCATCAAGTTTCCGACGCAACAAAGACAATTGAAATATCTTGACGGAAACGGTTACGAACGGCGAATTTTTTAAATTAAAATTAATGTATCTCAACATCAAAGGTCATTGACACAGGAACAATTAAGTATTAGCCATAGCTTTCTAAAGTTATACTAAGAGCTAGAAGCTAAATTTTGTCATACATCTTAATACTTTGCAGAAACTTGGTCACATGGTGAAGTTGGCCGGTAGAGTTTAGAATTACATGTAAGCTGTTCTTCAGTGTGTGGAAGCGTCGAATATTTGCATAATGCTCCAAATCGATAAGGATGTGTTTTATGGTCAGTGGATTGTTGCAGTGTTCACAAGCAGGTGGAAAATCGGCTTATTTACGGTAGCGGCGGGTGAAACACAACCCTAGAAATTACATCAGTTACCTTTACCTTCTATCTTCAACTCCTAGGACCAACACAAATAGTGAGGCATTTTGAAAAAAGTTTCTACACAATTCTACACTGAAACTTTTTTTTTGTTCGGACCCTCATGAAAATCACAACGATTTTAGAACATATTTCCAATACGAATGTCTTAGATTTGATAAACAATATAGATTTCAAGGATTTCAGTCAGATGGCATAAAAATGCTAAATGCACATATAAAGCGGCTCATGTTTATTTTTAGAAATGCACTGATAAAACCTATTGATGGATGTTAATTTATGTACAGGAAATTTTTCTTCCATATATACTGCTGTGTAAACGTTATATTTGAAATTGAAACATTTAGAATGAGCTTGCTTGAGTGTTTAATTGTTAATTAAATCATCAAAATTTTGATTTCTTTGTTTAATGTCGTGGGTCTGGTTACGTCTTAACACAAAACAGTGTCATAATACGAGCGTGTAGTTAAGGTTATATTTGTTTATTCTTTTCTGGGAATTCTTAAGTTAAAAAAATTGATCTATCTCTAATTTCTATGTGTTGTTGCTTGTTAGCCCTAAAGTGGCAGTTCGTGTATATTTATTAGGTTTTCCTTTTATTTGTGACTGATAAGGATAATTATATGGGAGGTAACGTGGTTATTTTAATGATTAAACAAATTATATATATTCTTTGATAGAAATTCTTACAATTATATAAGATTATCTGATAAAATTAAGTGTGTACGAGCGGTGTCCAGGGCCAGTATCGTTGCTAGCCAGTTTTATTGGCTGTCTAAGTTTTTCGAAAATACGAAGAAGAAAGAAGAAGCTTTTTGCCAAGTTCGAAGTCTGAGTGCCGTTCGTTTATTAGAAGCTTTTTGCCAGTCTCCAGGCCTAACCGCTGTCCGTCTGTAGTAATATGTTTTGATCGTATAGAGTGTTCGAGTTTAAGTTTTCGGTCCGGCTATTGAGAAGTCATTTGCCTGTTTCCAGTGCCGCTTGTTAGATGACAATAAGGGGTTTATTTCCCCCTGTGTCGTGCCCGACTACGTTTTTGGTTTGAGGAACGGTAATCAAGTTCGAGTTCAGAAAGTCCGGTCTGGATTTCGTTTGTGCTGTTTCTCAGAAGAAGTTTTTTTCTACATGCTTAAAGTCGATTTGTCGAAGTGTTTAGACTGCGGTTTCACGGTTTGTTGGACATCACGTTAACACGATTTAAGGATAATTTTACTTTGAGGATTTTGACCTTACCCACTGTGGGTTAAGAAAATAATTGAGGTCACAGTTGAATCATTCTTCTGTCCGGGGGTGAGGATTTGTACCGGAAAAAAGCTAAAAAGAGCTAACTAGGTTTGTAGTGTTTTGTGCTTAGTCCTTTTTGGCCTGGGATAAATGCACACAGCAATACACAGGTTCTATGGGCGATTAAAAATGAGTTGCTGTCGAGTCGCCTTTGGAAGTTGAAGTTAAGTACGATTTCTCATGTAAACAAAAATTGTGACGACAGCAACTCATTTTTGATCGCATGGTATAATGCGCTTAAGAAAAAATCACTGTATGTAGCAGAATTTCCTTTCGTTGTGAGAAAATATGACACATCTATAGTGATTACTCTGGCCTAGTTTAAGTTTGCTACTGTGTTTCTGAATGACGTTTGTGCGTGCTATATATATATTTCAGATAAACCGGCGGCGATGATACAGTCTAAATACTTTATCAACATTAATTACGATATTTATTATTAAAAAATGAAATACTAGTCAGTGTCAATATCCAATTTACTTGCGTAGTTTGGTACCATTAACTAACTCATGAATGTAAACGAAATAGAAATTCCAGTCCCTTGGGGAATAGTCGCAGGTAAGTTATTAACCAACCGTTTCTTTGCGTTCATATTCAACAAGCTAGGTAAAACGTGGGGGAATGAGGACAATAGCAAGATCTTGTTAATACCAGGCATTGGTGATAACGTGGAATCTTTCAATGCATTGGTTCCTTTATTGCCGCCCCATTTTTGTTACGTCGCTGTGGATCTACCAGGACATGGCATATCGAGCCACTTTCCTCAGAACGTGAATTTGAATATTTGGGACTACATCCTAGCCATAAGGTTGGTTATCGGATTTTTAAAAGAAGAACCAATCATTCTAATGGGGCACAGTTTTGGAGGATGTGTACTTACTGTTTATGCTCAATTCTACCCAAATCAAGTATCGAAGTTGATCCTGATCGACAGTAATTACTATCCTTTAAAGCGCGAAGTTTTTCGAATCACTTTTAAGGCATACATGGAAGGATCGAGTGAGCTACTAACCTCGTTGTCCGCTAAACAACGGCAAACCTTTAGATACAATGAAGGGCTGAATAAAAGCAATGGTAAACGATTATTGGGGAATGTTACACCAAAATCAGCCGACGAATTATACAAGCGTAATATTGTTGAAGTAGGAGCTGATATGTATCAAAGTAGAATTGATCCTCGTCTAAAATATCTTACTTACATATTCATAACCGACGTTTGCTTCTTTAATATTTTCAAAAGTGGTCCGAGTACTTGTCCGACGCTGAGTATTATCGCTTTAGACGCTAAACATCCACATTATCCAGGAAAGGGTCTCGCTGGTGCCATGGAACAGATTAATCCCAATTATGTGTGCAAATTTGTAAGGGGTGATCATTATATCCATATGCATTCACCTGAAATTATTGTACCGCTAATTATTCATTTTCTACTACTGAAATGTAGCTTATAGATATTTAAAAAATGATGAAGTGTCGGAAATGTAACTGTGGTAAGGATTAGTCTGTTTAATCGATCCTTTTGAGTTCTTCATCCGATAACGTTGTACTGATGTGCCCATTTTGGTCTGATTCTGACTTATGTCATACAATCTATATTATATAAATAAATTATTAGAAATTATAATACCCCAATCTCCTTTGAGTGCCTCCTAACGTAGACTGGTCATTTGAAATGACAACAATCGTTAAAAAAAGACATGAGAAGATGTATTTACGTGAATGGCGTTTGCTAACCTTAAACTAGGTAAGCAAATTTTTCATATTGCTGTTGTTTGAGATTTTTTTCATTATTCATAGGTCATATATATCACATGTTCGTGCAAATTCGAAGTTGATTAATATATCATCTCTTCTCTATTGTAATTATATGGCACCCAGTTACTGGGGCAAGCAAGATTAATCGTATCAGCAAATAATTGATTTCTCCGTTTTAGTGGGTAAGTTTAAATAATCACAGTCCTTCAACCGTCATATACACCCTGTATATGAATATGGTTAAATATGAATCTAACCGCCTCCAATTTTTAATGATCTGTGTCTATACTACGCTAACCTCGTACACATTTTTTCTTAATATTCAACAATCAAATGCTTTATTAATATTATCATTAATTATGATTGGTTAAGTCATCCGCACTGTAGAAAGTAAACAAACTTTATCTCTACTAATCATCACCAATGTCTGGCCACAAATTTGTAAATAAATGCGAACGAAATTAAAATCTCAAACCCATGCGAAAAACGTAGGGTTAGCCCTATATAGGGTGTTTTTTTAAGATGGGCCATAGGACAATGTAAACCCGTTGAGTTATTTAAAATGGGCCATAGGGAAATTTAATGGCATCAATTGTTTCAAGTTGTTCCTCGCGAATCATCTGTCATAGTATTGTCTAAATTATTTGTAAATCAACAAATTTATTCAAATCAGATATAAACGTATCAGATTTAATCGGTGCTCAAATTGTTTTCCATCGGCAACCTAACAATACCCGATACTCTGAATAGATCGCATACCACTCTGCTACTACTGTGCCCACTCTTGTACAAATTGTACATGAACACCTTTTCAGAGGCGGAATACATGTTGCTGCTTCGTTGATGCAATTTGAAGGATTGAAATCAAGAACTGACAGTGAAATAACTAAGCGCATGTGCAGGCCAAGATATGAACAATTGGCGCAATGTAAATTTCCCTATGGCCCATTTTAAATAACTCAACGCTTTTACATTGTCACAGTCACAGACCTGCGTTTATGCTTATGATGTATGCTAAGTGTGTACTTTCTATGGCCCATCTTAATATAAACACCCTGTATATCATAATTAGTTAACAAGTTAGATAAAACGATAAAAGCGTGACCTTTAACTTTCATTAGTCAACGAATTTTTAAAACAAACACAAAATATTCTCATGGAGGGGGAGCACGCGCTAGCAACGCGATTATCAATTTTAAGCGCAACATATTTGTAATATGTGACACCGATAGCGTTAAATTGCGTCAAATACATAACCCAAACATAGCATAAATGGACGATCAAGAAATCGAAATTCCTGTACCTTGGGGATTAATCGCCGGTAATGATATACCAACCATTACTTTATATTCACTAATATTTTGCACATCTAGCTAAGGCATGGGGTGACAAATCCAGCACAAAAATGTTGATGGTGCACGGTATGTTAGATAATTTGGAGTCTTTCAATCAGCTGGTGCCGTTATTACCGCAATCGTTCTACTACGTGGCCGTGGACTTGCCGGGACACGGAAAATCTAGTCATTTCCCAAAATGTAGCATTGTTAAATATTGGGATTATATTGTGGCTATTCGCTTGGTGATTCGATTTTTAGGAGACGCTCCTATAATTCTATTGGGCCACAGCTTTGGAGGTAGTTTAGTTACATTTTACACGCAACTGTATCCCAAGGAGGTGTCCAAATTAATCTTAATTGATACTGTCTACCTATATAGTAATTGGGAGGTTGATTTATGTAAAAGTTACATGATTCAATATATAAAAGAAGCATGCGATGTTTTAATGAAAAAGCCCAAATTGCGCAAATTTGAATATCATGAAGGCTTGAGTCATTATGTTAGTAGGCGAATATTGGGATCGATTACACCAACGGCGGCCTTACATTTATATAAACGAACCATTGTCGATGCTGGGGATGGTAAATATCAAAAAGGAAGTGATTCCAGAATAAAATGCAGTCCATATGTGATAATGGATGCCATTACGGCAGAACGTATTATGAAAAAATATTCGGTAGTTTGTCCAACTCTTCGCATTGTCGCAAAAAATTCTGACATGGAACCAGCTATAAAAAAACTAATGGATACATTTACGACACTAACCAAAAACTGTGTTACTGTACATGTGGATGGAAACCATCACGTGCATATTAATTCACCTGAAACTGTTGCACCAATAATCAATAATTTTTTGAAAGTAAAATGTCTTTTGTAATAATTGTACACTTCTGGATTAGACCTATAAAAAAACTAGAATGTTTACGCTGTAAGGTCAGAACGTATAAGCAGTTGTGTCGAATTAGTGTGCAGCATATGAAAGCTATTAAAAAACTAGACGTATCAGCTGTTGTGTTGAATTGGTATGCAGTAACTTCCACAACTATTTTCGGTAAGTGGAAAACCGCTCTTATGGTCGCTGGAGTAATACAAGTTCCTGCAAAATACCGAAGTTCATCGCAGTTTGAAAAGAACAAGAAACATACAGAAAATGTCTTATTTATAAAGAAACAATAATATGTCATTTAACATTTAGTACGAGAGCTGGTTGACATTTTTGGGTAGGTATTTGAGGCACGCTGAAAACTTGTCCAATACTTCTCCAATAATACCCAAATACAGATGTGCAGACCTGGCTGAGGAATAGCGGAGCTAAATCCACCCTTACATTTTTAATGGTACGATTTTTTTTCAAAAATGTTCTTGAGGCATTTCGTAATTTTTATTACCTTTAAATTTGATATTTAAAGAGCGAAAAAATCAATAACCCAGATGATTTAGTGGAGCCTTACCCTGGGCCTTACACTTTGCCTTCAAAGTTTGAAATAAATACATGCCGCCATAAATACATGAACATCCAGTGTACTTTGATCAATTATGATGAAATTTTCGGGATAACTGTCTTTATTAACGAGCTCCTAGCGAGTTCATAATTTTGTGATGTCTGTCCGTCTGTCCGTTAGTACAATATCTCGAAAACGAGTGGACCGATTACGATGAAATTTTGCAGGTGGATTCTTTATCAAATTTGTATATCGGACTTCATGAATTGGCAATGTAGGCAAAAAAATAAGGAAGGCCCTTTTGACAACTCCGTTAGTTATTGCATAAAATTCAGCATAGCGTTAGCCATATAATACGAATGCCAAGCTATAGTCATGCCCGGGAACTCGTTTGCTATATTTGTTTACACATTTATTTCGAAATAAGAAACGATAAAAATTTCAACATGATACAAATTAAAATAACACTAATAAACCCCTAAAAAGCATCTAAAAAAGCGGCAGAGCACCTCGGTGTTCCCCCACGGCGTCATTGGATTTGACCCATTTTCAATTGGCCTGTTACATGTGGTATATATGTTAACTGTGCAAAGTTATTTGAACCGAACAGGTTCAAGCGTTTGCCAGAGACAGATAGGCGCAGGGATAAGCGTGTCCCTACGGGGTCATGGGATTTGAACCATTTTCAATAGGCTTATTACATGTGGTACCCGGGAAATAGGTTCGCATCAGATCTGCACGGTCTTTCTAGTTGAGCCAGTGCTGGTCCCACCATCGTTCCCAATGGGTTGTCGTTGGAGAAGACCTTCCGCAGGCGTCTGACGGAATCTTTCCCAAGACGCTCTCTTTGCCTTCCGAATCGCCTTACTATACTCAAAGGTAATATCGAGGACTTCTTTCCTAGTTACAAATGTTGGTTCATTGCCCTGATTGAGTATCTCTTAGTTCCTCTGACAAAAGAAAGGTAATCACCTCTACGGTTTGTATCCGTGTAGTGGAGGTGATGAGTGTTGGCGTCACATCCTATAAGAAGATGCAATCCCTTCTCCTTGCAGTATCTGCTCCGTACCTTTGGCGGCGAAGGTACTGCTGCTGCTGCTCTTCCCTGGGAAGTATGCCGAAGCACACACTATTTTGGCAACACCGATGCTCATTGGCTCTTCGACCACCACAGCCGCCAGGTTTTTTGTTACGAACTCCAAAAGAGGGAAGGCTGCTAGGCAATGACCTAAAACGTACCTAGAGTAACAACATGGTTAAGTATATGGCAGCCAAATCACATAATAATGAAAATCCAACTTATAGCCTCCAGATTTGAGAGAATAGTATATTGAAAGACAAGTGTTACAATGCGACCTATTGTAATACGACTATCTTGTGGCACGAGTGGCGTAGCGAAGCGGAGCCACGAGTGTCCACAAGATAGGAGTATTACAATAAAGCATTGTAACACGTGTTTTTCATACTATTTTTTCTATTTCGGGGCTTTAATTTAATTAAAAAGTAATTATGAAAAACTACAGGAAACTTTAGAATTAATATGTCTTAAGTTGGCAACACCATTTACGTTGACAAATTTTAAGTTGGGAGCTTAGATAAACACAACACTGACATTTGGAAACTTTAAATTCCGTGAATGTGTAATTTTTTATTCGTAGATAAATTTATTTATGGTGGATGTGTAAACTGCTGATTTGGAATGTATTAAGTTCTTCGTGTACCAAAAATCAAGGAAAACACATAAATTTTACGTAATTTGATTTCACATCTGATGATTTGACGTTGACGTCTTGGCGAACTGCCAACTTAGAGATGAAAAGTTACCAAAAACAATGTTACAATGGAACTCATTGAAACACTGTTTTTGCCGAAAACAGTTGCACAAAATTCTCATTGTAACACCAAAATAGAAAAAATATAGAAATTCATCCAATACACAACGACAAATCCCACAACAACGGTTTAAATCGCCAAAGAATAATTAACTTCAACATTTGCAATTATAACCACATGGATAATCTTAAATATCACGGTTCGCTAAACCTCTATGTGATACGTACTCGCAACTAGAATACGGAAGAGGAATTACACAGCATAGAATACGCCTTGAGGCTTGCAATCCACCCACAGGACGCCAACGAAATGACAGAAATGTTAGAGTGGTTCTTAAACAAACAAGATGACCGTCAACCAATTAATAAATAATTAATACGTATTTGAGAAAATAAAACTGTTACAAACAATGTCAAAAATGTTGTTTAAGAACAAAACTGTCGAACAATTTATTGGCATTAACTTATTAAGTAACGCTATGGAATATAGTACGTAGAAGGTCAAACAACCCTACTAGGGGTAACTTGTCCATACGTAATACGCATGGACTAATCATTACAGATTCACAGGAAATATCAAACTATTTTGGTAATTTCTTTGGCGACTCTATCGAAAAGCTAGTTAGTTCAAACTTTACGCTCCCCAGTGATTGCAGCGTTATCGACAACAATATGTGCCCTGTTTCGTTTTTCATGACTCCCGTCTCAGAAACGAGTGTTCTAAACGTCATAAACTCACTAGGTAACAAGAAATCGTGTGGACCTGATGAAGTCCCCATCGCTATCATTAAGGACTGCCGGTCTACCTTCGCCCATTATCTTAGCAACATATCAACTGAATGTGGAAAGTTTCCTTCCCAACTGAAATCTTCTAAAGTCGTTCCAGTGCACAAAAAGAAGGATCCACTGGATCCAGACAACTACAGCGCGATCTCACTGCTGTCCATCTTCTCCAAAATTATTGAAAAGATAGTCTGCGAGAGATTGACACTGTTCTTGAATAACAACAACCTACTAAGCTCATCGCAGTATGGCTTCAGAGAAAACCATTCCACTGAAACGGCCACAATAGACTTTACCCAGGTAGTTCATAATGAACTGGACCATGGTAAAGTCGTGTTAGCGGTATTTCTAGACCATCTCTCGTGCATTCGATACTATTGACCATATGATACTGTCTGAGAAACTAAATACAATTGGCATCAGAGGAATAATGAACGATTGGATTTTATCATTTGTATCAAACCGGACCTTCAGAGTTCATGTAAATGGAAAGACCTCTAAAGAATTTTCCAACAGCATTGGAACACCGCAAGGAACACGTTGGCCCCTTTGCTGTTCTTGATCACATTAACGACATGATCGATCAATTATCGGATCATTGTAAAGTTTTTGTATACGCGGACGACACTAACATCGTCGTCTCAGCACCCTCTCTGAAAGAGGCAACATCCAAATTGGAAAAAGTGCTCTCACTATTTACAAAATGGTGCTATGACAACAGACTAGTTCTAATACTAATAAAACGGCGTGCCTATGCTTTAGCTATGGTGTGCGCCAATTCGAACTATTCAAAATTCAAAACCAAGAGTATGAAATAAACATTTCAGAAAATGCCAGTTTCCTGGGAACCGTCATTGATTGTAAACTATCCTTCTCCGGACAAGATGATAAGGTTTGTGCGCAACTAAGTAAACTACCCTACGCTTTCCTCAGTTTAACAAACTGTATGGACAAAAGTGCTCTCCTCTCGGTGTACTACGCCAAAATACAGGCGGTAATGAGTTATAATATTATTGTCTAGGGACAAGCCACCGAAGCCAGCCGTGTGTTCATTTTACAAAAAAGGTTAATTCGACGTATTTTCAAGCTCCAGTTTAATCAATCTTGTCGGGACACCTTCCGCAACAGTCGGATACTAACGTTCACATCATTATACATATACAAAATCTTGCTTTACATTCATACTTTTAGACGTAAATTTAAAAGAAACCGCGATAATCATGACTACCTTACCAGAAAAGGACACCATAGCTATTTACCAAGATGTCAACACACTAAATTTAAAAAATCAGTGCATTACGCAGGATGTTACCTCTACAACGCGCTGACAGCTGATATAAAGCAGATTCAGGACTCAAAACTTTTCAAAAAGACGCTGAAAGATTACCTCGTTTCGAAATGCTGCTACACAATTGAGGAGTTTCTTCTTCTTTCAGAAACGTAGTATTTGTTGTAACGAGTTAATTTCTAAATTGTTGTTGGTCTATCTATGTCTCATTCGTGTTTTATCTGTTGCTATTTTATATATACTATCTATATGTATTTGTACTGACTTGCCTCATCTATTGTTAAATAGCTAAAAGGGTTAAAATATAAAAAAAAAAATGATGGAGGCGGAAGACATTAGGCGAAGGAGAGGAGAGCTTAACGGTAACGTAGGCGTCGAAGCAGAAGAGTGAAATATGAGATAATTGGTAAAATAGACGTTAATGAGTTCTAAAGCAAAGAATCCGTGATAAAACATGTCGTGAAAATGAATAGAGGGTAAAGGAGTGAAGGGTACTTGAGAAATACGGTAATCAAACAGTGGTAAAAGAACATGAAGGAGGTCTGAAAAGATGTGAGATATTACGTGATATCTTCCGATACTCCGTTTTCGAGATATTCACATTTGAAATTCTACCCCCCTCCCCCTTACATGTTTGACATATGCGATTAGTTTGCTTTTATTAGAAAGAGGTGGAATTAACATTTTAGAAAGATCGCACCACCAATAAGAAAGTTAGTACTACACATGCGCGCAACGCGCTCCAGTTTTGACATGTTTACCATTAGAAATCGACTTGCTTTAATATAAAGAGTCATTGCTGATTGCTGTATTTTCAAAAAAGTTTGTTGAGTATTTTTTCCAAAAACTTTTTTTGTACTCGTATATTTCGCAACGAGAGAGAAATGGGAAAATTCTGAAAAAAAAATGTTTTTCGAAGTTTTTTCGAGGTAAATCAATACTCTCCTTGCGGAAATGTAATTAGGGCCTTAGATGCTGATTTTGCTCATCTCGTCGATGTAAATTGACAACACATCCGCAGTTCATCAATGCATTTACTAATTGTGTGCTAATAAACGTCATATTTTATGTCAATTCAGCTTATCCAAATTTTAGTAAAGTGCTAAGAAATTTAGATTTCATGCGGGTCTCTTATTCCGAACTTTGTTGACCTCTAGCATTTACCAAATGCAATTCCGCAATACAGTGCCTGAATTGAAAGATAATTAATAACGCTGGAAATGCTATTTTGTGAATACAGGCAGAAAATTACATAGTTTCGCCGAAGCACGCTCAACACAATGGTATTAGACATTGATAAATGAAATAAATTAATTTACCTGCCGAAACCGTCTCCGTATAGAAAAATGCGCTTTTGAAATCTTACGTACTCCTGATAAAGTACGTGTTTCGAATTTAATCTGAAAGAATGTTTTTGATTAGCTCACGTACTTACAGAACACTCCTGATTGGTTCCGAAAGTTGTAGTCAGTAAACGAGATCAGGCAATCTCTGGCACAAATAATGACACCATAACGATCTTCTTTAACAAAACTCATCTCATGTTTATCATTTTAATCAGAGTTTCTTTGGCCTACTTTAGAAGCGGCGTCAATCGATACCTTATAATTTGGGTTAAAAAGCTTTTATCTGTACCTTTATAGTATCAAACAAGCTACTTCTTTATTCGGCCTAAGTTACCTAAAGGGGAGTAATCCTACTCCAAAATTCATGAAGTTCAAAGTGCGTTTAAGTGTCCGCTTTTATGGGAGAACTCTTGTTAATGCAATCAGGCGAAATATCAGAGAAGGGATGGGGGTCAATTTGAAATCTGGAATTTTCTCCATAACGATTGTGTGTCTCTTTCCAGGTATCAGGGAGTGCGGGTTTAATTTCCCATTTCGTCAACCTTCAAATTGTTATACCAGAAGCTCACATACAAGGCAGTGGGTCGGGAGAGCATCATGTGGACAAAGGAAGTATCATAAATCTGGTATGCATAATAGATAAGGTGAGTGAACATTTTTTTTTCTTTTTCACGTAAATGTTTCATCCGTTTATGTGCCCCTCTAAACCGCTGCTGTATGTATAATTTATAATTATTAAGCTAAATCTTGAATTTGACAATAAATTTTTCGATTTAACACTAACATTTCACCTATCGGCACAAACGCGGAGTAATCGCATAAATAATTATAGTGTTACATTATTCAACAATCGAATGCTGTTAGCCAACAATGCAGGCTGTCAATAGTAGCTCTCCTCATTGCACGTGGTGATTTATCGACGTAATACAATGTATTTCTCTGGTTCTATATCAACATATGTCCACTACAAATTCGAGCATTACTCCATACATTAGGACTTTTATGCATCATTGCATTTAATGCCTTTGGGAAGCAGTTAAGCATTGATCACGTCTCTATCCTTCCTATAATCAACGCAATAAAAATAAATTGGCAAATGAGGAAACAATAAAAGTAAAACGCCTTTTAGGCGCCGACCGTTACGTCTCCCATAAAAAAATTTAGATTCAATTTTATTGAGCGTAATATTTTGATAAATTTTTTATTTCGGCAATATCATAGTTTCAGTATGAAAGTTCCGCAAATTAAATTGTAGTGACGCCTTCTAGTAATGAAGTTCCAAATTTCGTACTGACGATGTCCCGAATACAAAAACTATCGCATCCTACAGAAATCGTTCGTTTCTAGCTGTATTTTGTGGAAAAATATTACGGCATTGTACCGACTCTGCCATTTTGTGACGCAATTTCAAAAGTTTAGTCACTCGTTCGGGCGTTCGAAGCAAGAAACTTCAGCAGTATGCGATTTCTTATGCAGAAACGCCATCTGCATTCCTTGATGAGCTCAACTAAATTTTGTTCTCTTCTCATCCTGTTGATTAGACGGCAGAAAAAATGGACTACCATTCACAGACTTGTAGCAAATTATATATGTGCGTGGGACGTGATTTCGAAACCCTTTATTTAACAAAGTTGCATAATCGTTCTTTAGTGTCTCACACTAGGTAGATCGCCCACTAAAGAAGTAAAAAAAAGTTGTGAAAAGCACCTTAAATTTGAGTACAAACTTCATTCGCCAATTTCGTCCGTAAGACGGCAAAACAAGTTTGCCTATCAAAGGAGAACCGGCTACTAAAATAAAAAAAATGATAATAATAGGAAAGCCCAATAGCGAATTTTGGGATTTCCTCGAGCGCGTCAGATTAAAAGTAAAGTGGGCTGACTACGTGTTGAAAAGTGTGCATTTCAATAATCTAACCATTTGACCGTGACGTAAGGGAGTGAGAAAGTCACAAACTTAACGTCCTCGAGCGCGTTGGATTTTTACTTGCGAAAATCGGGCAAAAGTCGTCTAGAAATGGGAAAAAATTTTTTGAAGGTATAACAAGATCAGACCTAGTAGAGTATGTAGATATTGTAATTCTGCATCCGAAATGGTGTTTTACGACATTTTCCGGTGGTCATGACATTTTTTTTTAAGTACCTTAAAAAAACCCGCTCAAAAAGTACTTTAATAAAACACATAACGTAATTGTCAAACCGCCCTGTATAATCACCTTCGTACAAATATTTTAACAAATTAACGTTCACACGTCAACCATTACTTCTTGAGAAACAGCCGTCAATTGAGAGACCTGGGTTCCGTATCGACGGTTATTTCAAGTCCCTTAAGGGTATTCTAAACTTATTCTCTTTTTGCCAAAGCAAATAGTGAAGATTCGGACCTTGCAAATTAACCGATTTAAAACTTTTTACAAAGAAAATTCCGATAATGACATTTTCATGTGGACCTAGCTAGAAAATTGAAGTTGTTACTTCTTTTGAATGCAATATAAATACCAGAATCTTCTAGCTGAGTTCAAAATTTAGTTATTAAGGTTATACTGTGTTTGTGAAAAGGGTGTAATAATCTAATGTCTGGGTTAAACAGGGCAAGCGATAATTAGTGAAATAGAAAAGTGGGCACCCGATTAACCTCCTACAAACGTTAGTACTAACTTGTGTGGCATTCCATGAGCAGCTTGAAGGCTAGGGATAAGGCTGCTAAAGAGTCTTGGAGAACGCCTGACTGTACAAGCAGATGTAAAGCCACGCACCCAGTGAAGGTTATTTACTTACCACAAGCCCGGCACCTAACATTGACTATTCAAGAAAAGAAAGACAAACTTGACAATGACGTTTTAATTTTAACAAACGCTTATTAATATCCTTTAAAAAGGTATCATTAAAAGAATGTTTTTGGCTAAATTTACGGAAGTTTGACGAAGCATATTTTATTTGGAGAAGTACTGTTGTAGAATGCCTTCCTATAATATTTATCTAGCCAGTTTTTCGCGGATTTTCCAATAAAACATCTCAGTAACCGAATGAGACCAACGATTCACTTTGTAAACTCTCCGAAATCAGGTGCGTATCTCTCTACTCATAATTGAATAAATTATTTAAAATTTACTATTTCAATTTTGTGTCTACAAAAACAAAATGTAAGGTAATATACCAGGTAGTGACCTTGAACAACGCACCATATAATTTCAATAAGTAATTTCTGATTATTGGCTTCCCTAATTATTATTAATTTAGAGATAGTCCTATTTCGGTTTTTTGAAGAGAAATATTGACGAATCCATGCATCACGCCCAAACCTACTACTATTGGAACAACAATCATGTTTCTCGACTAATGTGGTCATAGTTGGTGATTTTAACGTTCCTAATTATAATAGTGTGCATGTGCTTGACAACAGGACCGCAACGCTCAACAATTTTGCTGACTTTCTCCATTTAAACCAATGTAATACTGTAGTCAACTCAATGAACCGATTGCTGGACTTAGTTTTTGCCAATATAACCTGTTCTGTAATACATGATACTGAGCCTATAGTTACGGAAGATGTCTATCACCCAGCTCTATGTATTGATATATCGCTGAAGATTAAAAGTATTGAGCGCTTTCCTATTGATAATCGGAACAAGCGTTATAACTTTGTGAAAGCAAATTTCATTAACTTATATGCCTCTTTACTGCAGGCCGACTGGTCGTTTTTGGAGTCTTGTACTAGTGTGAACTTTGCTTGTGACCGTTTCTACCAGTTTCTGTATCAGGTACTGGATGCATATGTTCCTAGGTATAGTAACAAATCATCAAAGTATCCTGTTTGGTACACCCCTGAAATTAAACGTTTGATTTGGCTAAAGTTTGCTGCTTTCAAAAAATTCAAGAAATATGGAACCGAACAATACTTAATCAATTTTAAACGCTTGCGTAAGGATCTTAGGTTACTTATCCATACAGCTTATAATAACTACATTTCCAATGTGCAAGCTACAATCTCTATCGATCCAAAACGTTTTTGGACCTTTATCAACTCAAGGAGAGGTAGTTCTCGCATTCCATCCAGTATGAGATTTAACAATGAAACTTTCGAGAATGCTCAAGACATTGTACAAGCATTTAGTGATTACTTTAGTAGTGTATATTCGACATCAACAAATAGTGATGTTACTGACTTCTATGACTATAATAATGTACCAATTATCCATATCGAAAGTGTAACTGTTGATGAAGTCTCCACAGCCATAAACAACTTAAAAAATGGTAACACATCTGGTCCCGATCTTATTCCAGCTTTTTTTTATTAAAGACTGTGCAGCTGTGTTTGCTGAACCTTTAACACGTATATTTAATCTTGCATTGGCTACTAATGTATTTCCCGATAGCTGGAAAAATGCTAACGTTACGCCTGTATATAAATCTGGTGACTCCAACGACGTTAGTAACTACAGACCAATCAGCATTTTAAGCAACTTCGCAAAAATTTTTGAGAATGTCTTGTATGTTAGGATTTATTCGAAGGTGAGACGACTTATATCCATCCACCAGCATGGTTTTATGGCACACAGATCTACAACCACTAACTTAGCATGTTTGTCGCATGTTATTGCAGAAACCATCGACAAGCGTGGACAAGTTGACGTCATATATACCGACTTCAAAAAGGCGTTTGATAGCATTCCCCATGACATCATTATTGCCAAGCTATTTAATTTTGGTTTCAATGAAGGGTTACTTAAGCTTTTTACATCCTATTTAAGCAACAGATCCCAGCGTGTGCTGTACAATAATTTTAAGTCTGATTCTGTTATAGTTACTTCAGGTGTCCCTCAGGGATCTACCCTGGGACCTCTTTTATTTCTGTTATATATTAACGATTTAACTGCTTTATTGAAGTGTGGTGCACTACTATTTGCCGATGACTTAAAACTATTTACTCAAGTGTCTTCGATCAGTGACTATCAATTTCTGCAGGAGCAACTAAACAGTGTTGTGCGGTGGTGTTCTACTAATTGTTTATTTTTAAATATTTCTAAATGTAAAATAGTTACATACGCTAAGAAACATCAACCTATTGTATATAATTATGTAGTTCATTCCCTGCGGTTAACAAGGGTCGATTTGGTTAAAGACCTAGGCGTTTACTTTGATTCCAAATTTACATTTTCGCATCACATTGCTACAGTAACGCGTTTAGCAATGTCTACTCTAGGTTTTATACTGAGGAATTGTAAATCCTTCAATAATATGGTTGCACTTAAAGAACTATTCTTTTCACTTGTTCGAAGTAAGCTGGAGTATTGCTCACTAATCTGGTTCGCGTCATCAAAAAAAAATATTGATTTGATCGAGCATGTTCAGAGGAGATTCTTAAAATTCTTATATTACAAAACTGAAGGTCATTATCCTCCTAGAGGGTTTTGTCATGAAACTTTACTAAACCTATTTCATGTTAGTAGTTTAGAGGATAGAAGAATAAAAAGTAGTATAACTTTCCTATTTAATATTGTGCACGATAAACTAGATACCCCCGATTTGCTGTCTAAAATTAATTTTCTTGTGCCATCTTATCACTACCGTTTGAGTTTACCATTTCACCTTTCTCCGCCACGTACTAATGTTTTATATATGTCTCCAATTTTAAGTTCGTGTAAAACATACCATAACCTTTGTAAAACCGTGGACATATTTAATTCAACACTAACTTGTATATTCACTGAGATTAATCTTTAATTGCTATTTTTACTATAGTTGTTTGGTTTGGTTTTTATTTTTTTTAAATTATTTTAGTTCTATAATTTTTTTTATACCAATTGTTCTACTGTTTGTAATATCTACTTGTATCGCCTCTATATTATCTGTTAAATGTCCTGTAATTGGAATTTGTTTTCTGTTGGGCATTAAACTATTATTAT